AAAAAACTACTAATCGTTAGTAGAATACTATACAAATAAAAAATATTAATTGTAAATAAAAAAACTATTAAGTTTTAGTTGAAAACTACTAATTGTTAAAAGAAAACTACTGATATTTAGTTAAAAAACTACTACTTGTTAATAGAAAAACTATACTATACTATACTAACAAAAAACTACTAATTGTTTGTGGAAAACTACTAATTGTTTGTAGGAAACTACTAATTTTTAGTAGAAAACTACTAATTACTAATAGAATAACTATACTATACTAATAAAAAAGAAAAAATTGTTAATAAAAAAAACTACTAATTGTTAATAGAAAAATACTAATTATTAATAGAAATCTACTAATTTATTTAGCAAACTTTAAAAAATGAATTTTTGAGGTCGAATTAATAAAAAAAAAATGAAGAAAGAAGGAGAGCAAGGTTAAATGTCATACAGGTGCAATGTCCCGTTTTGAACTTTTCTTTCCAATAACGCTGATGGTATCTCGCATCAACTCTTGAGGGCTGATCGATTTTTTTTAAACTTTCCAAAGTAAATGTACACTTTACTGTGAAGATAATAGACCTGTGATTCCTGTGAAAAATTCTGGGTTCCTTTTGGGTGAGTTACTGATGCTCTCTCGTATTTATCTATATATATATCGAAGTGGATCATGTGCACTCGGGCGACTAATTCCTCTCATTGGCCAATTGAAATTATACACCTGAAGATATAAAATTTTTGCAAAGGATAATCCCACAGGAGTTATCGATGAAATGCGCACGTTTTCATTTTTTTTTTTTTCAACTTCAAAAAGTATGGACCAATTTTCTGTTTTATTGCAAAGATAAAATTAGTTGAAAATAAAAAAACTAATAATAAACTAATAATAAAAATTAATATTAAAGGTGAAATTATTTGAAGCTAAAATTATAAATTATTAATTTATCAATTTACTGAAACAATTTTTATATTTATTTTTAAAAAAATATATATAACGATCCGAAACGACGTTATTTAATCACTAAAAAGCATGATCTCTTCATTTTCCCCTTCGAGTGATTAATCTTTAGAATATATTTTCTATGGATTGATGGTTCTTTCAGTTTTTTTTTAAACCTCCCCCGCTTTAAGCACTTTCAAGTTACACAACTCATCCTCGTTCTTGTCGAGTCTGAGGGACACATCTAGGGTCTCAGGTCCCAGGTCTTATCTTTTCGCTGAACGAGCAGCGTGACCAACGAAACAAATCTCTTGAATACTTCTACTTAGTTGTATATATATATGCTTGCTTATCTAAAGAAAGATACAGGGCTGTATATATATATATATATATATATATATAAAAAAAAGACTTTAAAAAAATAAATAAATAAAAGTATTGGATTTGCTTCCATGACTATGGGAAATTTTTTTCCGTCTCTCATCTCTCTTAAAAAAATTCTTGAGTTGAGATTTCCTGTATGAAAAATGTTAATTTTTAAATGCTGAAGATAAAGAAAGACGTATTTTTAAAAATTTTAATAACTTCTTTTTTTAATTTTTATAGAAGGTTTAAAGCAAAATAGAATTAATAAACTAATTACATTCAAATAAAAATTATTTGGTTCAAGTAGATATTTAATTGGTTAATGGAAATATTTACTTGGTTTAACTAAATATATATTTGGTTCAAGTAGATATTTAATTGGTTAATGTAAATATTTACTTGGTTTAACAAAATATATATTTGGTTCAAGTAGATATTTAATTGGTTAATGGAAATATTTACTTGGTTCAACTAAATATTTATTTGGTTCAAGTAGATATATCTAATTGGTTAACGGAAATATTTACTTGGTTCAACTAAATATTTTTTTGGTTCAAGTAGATATTTAATTGGTTAACGGAAATTATTTATTTTGGCTAAAGGAAATATTTGCTTGGTTCAACTAAATATTTATTTGGTCCCATTAAATATTTATTTGATAAGTAAGGGATTATTTAAATGAAATAAATTTTTTTTCCGTGTACTATATCGGATTGCCTGCATGATTTAGGATAAATTCAGTCCAGTAATTAAAGGTGGGAAATAAAATGTAAAAAGTAAATAAGAGATGATTAAATTAAATTGTAATATATATATATATGGTTAAACGTATTTTGGTAGGATTTTGAGATTTATTTGGCTAAATTACGGCACCTCCCAACTCCTCTGACCTCTCGTTGGATAAAGTTACATTTTATCTCGACTCTACAGCACACTTTGTGATCCAGATTACGTTTCACGAGAGACGAGAGAGGACCCCCTGAGAGGATTCTGCTCATCTCTCTCTCTCTCTCCCTCAGTCTTTTTGCTAACATTGCTATCAAGCTTGACTATGGCTCTCGTCGAAAAAGGGGATCTGAGTGCCAGATAACCTCTTATAAACTGGAGCATTAGTAAGGCGCGGAGCATCAGCTACACACTGTATAAGAAAAAAAAAAAAAAAAATATATATATATATATACATATATATCTTTTACTGATCTCTAACCACGTTACATGGGTTACATGGGGGCGCAATAGGCGTTTCACAATGAGGTCCGGTACATAAACCATATCTGCATCGTGCGCGCTTTCTCCCTCTCTCTGTCTCTCCTCTCTCTTTTTCTCTCACGGGAATATGTATTGCTTTACATGTAGATGAGAGAGTTCCGATGAAGTAAATGTTCGTATATATCTGAAGCTGAGCATCTCTCTTTGCACTTATATGCAGTTCCGAAATATTTTTTTTTTTTTTTTTAACCAACTTTAAACGCCTTTGCCCTGGTTTTTAACCTGAGGGACGTATATAAAGAAAGTTACCGAAAAATATAACTCCCTGATTTATCTCTCGAACGAATAATAATAATAATTCATAACTTATAAAATCTCAAAAGTTTCTGACATGATTTCTGATATAGGTAATTAAATTCATATGCTAATTAGATTGGGGTTCTGAATTTTTTAAAATTTCAGCAACAATTTTAATTAGAGAAAAAAACTTTGTCCTGTACTTGAAATTTATTGCAATTTTACAGTAATTTTTTCATTAGTAGTATAAGAGAATTTTAGTCAGACTTGAAATTTTCTGTAAATTAAATATTTTAATTTTTGTAACTTCAGTGTCAGTAGTAAATGTCAATTTCTGCCGGACAAGTAATTTTAGTGTTAGTAGTAACAGTTAGTTGTAGTCAGACTAAAGTTCAGTAATTTTATTACCAGTAGTAACGGTCACTTTCTGTCAGACAAAAATATTGTACATTTTACTTATAGTCTCAGACCACTATCTATCATAAAAACATTGTATATTTTATTTTTAGTGTCAGTAGTAAAGCACATTTTCTTAAAGACCAAAGATTTTGAATTGTACTTTAGTATCAATAGTAAAAGTCATTTTCTGTCAGACATAACAATGATCTGTTATTTTAGAATCAGTAGTAACAGTAAGTTAAAATAAGACAAAAAATTCAAATGCTATCAATTACTTTAATCAATTTTTAACTAATATAGTTATATTTCGACATGAGGAAAAAATGTCCGGATGTATGAGAGTGTGGATGTGTGTGTGTGTATGGCACCGCTTCTTATGTACAAATTAACTCAAACAAATGTTGACTAACCGTCCAAAAAATTTGAATGCTAATTCTACTTACTAATACCAAACTTGAAATTTTTTGGGAACTTTTTTATGATTTTGGATGGCTTTTTGGTGGAAATAGGTGTCTTCCTCTACTTGGATTTGGCTGTCAATTTTTTTCTACACTTTTAGGTGTATTTTGTGCATGAAATTGCATTAAAATCGTCTGCCTAAGAAAAATTAAATTTTTTTGGGGACTTTTTTATGATTTTGGATGGCTTTTTGGTGGAAATAGGTGTCTTCCTCTACTTGGATTTCGCTGTCAATTTTTTTCTACACTTTTAGGTGTATTTTGTACATGAAATTGCATTGAAATCGTCTGCCTAAGAAAAATTGAATTTTTTTGAGGACTTTTTTATGATTTTGGATGGCTTTTTGGTGGAAATAGGTGTCTTCCTCTACTTGGATTTGGCTGTCAATTTTTTTCTACACTTTTAGGTGTATTTTGTGCATGAAATTGCATTAAAATCGTCTGCCTAAGAAAAATTAAATTTTTTTGGGGACTTTTTTATGATTTTGGATGGCTTTTTGGTGGAAATAGGTGTCTTCCTCTACTTGGATTTCGCTGTCAATTTTTTTCTACACTTTTAGGTGTATTTTGTACATGAAATTGCATTGAAATCGTCTGCCTAAGAAAAATTGAATTTTTTTGAGGACTTTTTTATGATTTTGGATGGCTTTTTGGTGGAAATAGGTGTCTTCCTCTACTTGGATTTGGCTGTCAATTTTTTTCTACACTTTTAGGTGTATTTTGTGCATGAAATTGCATTAAAATCGTCTGCCTAAGAAAAATTAAATTTTTTTGGGGACTTTTTTATGATTTTGGATGGCTTTTTGGTGGAAATAGGTGTCTTCCTCTACTTGGATTTGGCTGTCAATTTTTTTCTACTCTTTTAGGTGTATTTTGTACATGAAATTGCATTAAAATCGTCTGCCTAAGAAAAATTAAATTTTTTTGGGGACTTTTTTATGATTTTGGATGGCTTTTTGGTGGAAATAGGTGTCTTCCTCTACTTGGATTTGGCTGTCAATTTTTTTCTACTCTTTTAGGTGTATTTTGTACATGAAATTGCATTAAAATCGTCTGCCTAAGAAAAATTGAATTTTTTTGGGGACTTTTTTATGATTTTGGATGGCTTTTTGGTGGAAATAGTTGTCTTCCTCTACTTGGATTTGGCTGTCAATTTTTTTCTACACTTTTAGGTGTATTTTGTGCATGAAATTGCATTAAAATCGTCTGCCTAAGAAAAATTAAATTTTTTTGGGGACTTTTTTATGATTTTGGATGGCTTTTTGGTGGAAATAGTTGTCTTCCTCTACTTGGATTTGGCTGTCAATTTTTTTCTACACTTTTAGGTGTATTTTGTACATGAAATTGCATTAAAATCGTCTGCCTAAGAAAAATTGAATTTTTTTGGGGACTTTTTTATGATTTTGGATGGCTTTTTGGTGGAAATAGGTGTCTTCCTCTACTTGGATTTCGCTGTCAATTTTTTTCTACACTTTTAGGTGTATTTTGTACATGAAATTGCATTGAAATCGTCTGCCTAAGAAAGATTGAATTTTTTTGGGGACTTTTTTATGATTTTGGATGGCTTTTTGGTGGAAATAGGTGTCTTCCTCTACTTGGATTTGGCTGTCAATTTTTTTCTACACTTTTAGGTGTATTTTGTACATGAAATTGCATTAAAATCGTTTGCCTAAGAAAAATTGAATTTTTTTGGGGACTTTTTTATGATTTTGGATGGCTTTTTGGTGGAAATAGTTGTCTTCCTCTACTTGGATTTGGCTGTCAATTTTTTTCTACACTTTTAGGTGTATTTTGTGCATGAAATTGCATTAAAATCGTCTGCCTAAAAAAAATTAAATTTTTTTGGGGACTTTTTTATGATTTTGGATGGCTTTTTGGTGGAAATAGTTGTCTTCCTCTACTTGGATTTGGCTGTCAATTTTTTTCTACACTTTTAGGTGTATTTTGTGCATGAAATTGCATTAAAATCGTCTGCCTAAGAAAAATTAAATTTTTTTGGGGACTTTTTTATGATTTTGGATGGCTTTTTGGTGGAAATAGTTGTCTTCCTCTACTTGGATTTGGCTCTCAATTTTTTTCTACGCTTTTAGGTGTATTTTGTACATGAAATTGCATTAAAATCGTCTGCCTAAGAAAAATTGAATTTTTTTGGGGACTTTTTTATGATTTTGGATGGCTTTTTGGTGGAAATAGGTGTCTTCCTCTACTTGGATTTGGCTGTCAATTTTTTTCTACACTTTTAGGTGTATTTTGTACATGAAATTGCATTGAAATCGTCTGCCTAAGAAAAATTGAATTTTTTTGGGGACTTTTTTATGATTTTGGATGGCTTTTTGGTGGAAATAGGTGTCTTCCTCTACTTGGATTTGGCTGTCAATTTTTTTCTACACTTTTAGGTGTATTTTGTGCATGAAATTGCATTAAAATCGTCTGCCTAAGAAAAATTAAATTTTTTTGGGGACTTTTTTATGCTTTTGGATGGCTTTTTGGTGGAAATAGGTGTCTTCCTCTACTTGGATTTCGCTGTCAATTTTTTTCTACACTTTTAGGTGTATTTTGTACATGAAATTGCAGTGAAATCGTCTGCCTAAGAAAAATTGAATTTTTTTGGGGACTTTTTTATGATTTTGGATGGCTTTTTGGTGGAAATAGGTGTCTTCCTCTACTTGGATTTGGCTGTCAATTTTTTTCTACACTTTTAGGTGTATTTTGTGCATGAAATTGCATTAAAATCGTCTGCCTAAGAAAAATTAAATTTTTTTGGGGACTTTTTTATGATTTTGGATGGCTTTTTGGTGGAAATAGTTGTCTTCCTCTACTTGGATTTGGCTCTCAATTTTTTTCTACACTTTTAGGTGTATTTTGTACATGAAATTGCATTAAAATCGTCTGCCTAAGAAAAATTGAATTTTTTTGGGGACTTTTTTATGATTTTGGATGGCTTTTTGGTGGAAATAGGTGTCTTCCTCTACTTGGATTTCGCTGTCAATTTTTTTCTACACTTTTAGGTGTATTTTGTACATGAAATTGCATTGAAATCGTCTGCCTAAGAAAAATTGAATTTTTTTGGGGACTTTTTTATGATTTTGGATGGCTTTTTGGTGGAAATAGGTGTCTTCCTCTACTTGGATTTGGCTCTCAATTTTTTTCTACACTTTTAGGTGTATTTTGTGCATGAAATTGCATTAAAATCGTCTGCCTAAGAAAAATTAAATTTTTTTGGGGACTTTTTTATGATTTTGGATGGCTTTTTGGTGGAAATAGTTGTCTTCCTCTACTTGGATTTGGCTCTCAATTTTTTTCTACACTTTTAGGTGTATTTTGTACATGAAATTGCATTAAAATCGTCTGCCTAAGAAAAATTAAATTTTTTTGGGGACTTTTTTATGATTTTGGATGGCTTTTTGGTGGAAATAGGTGTCTTCCTCTACTTGGATTTCGCTGTCAATTTTTTTCTACACTTTTAGGTGTATTTTGTACATGAAATTGCATTGAAATCGTCTGCCTAAGAAAGATTGAATTTTTTTGGGGACTTTTTTATGATTTTGGATGGCTTTTTGGTGGAAATAGGTGTCTTCCTCTACTTGGATTTGGCTGTCAATTTTTTTCTACACTTTTAGGTGTATTTTGTACATGAAATTGCATTAAAATCGTCTGCCTAAGAAAAATTAAATTTTTTTGGGGACTTTTTTATGATTTTGGATGGCTTTTTGGTGGAAATAGGTGTCTTCCTCTACTTGGATTTGGCTCTCAATTTTTTTCTACACTTTTAGGTGTATTTTGTGCATGAAATTGCATTAAAATCGTCTGCCTAAGAAAAATTAAATTTTTTTGGGGACTTTTTTATGATTTTGGATGGCTTTTTGGTGGAAATAGTTGTCTTCCTCTACTTGGATTTGGCTCTCAATTTTTTTCTACACTTTTAGGTGTATTTTGTACATGAAATTGCATTAAAATCGTCTGCCTAAGAAAAATTGAATTTTTTTGGGGACTTTTTTATGATTTTGGATGGCTTTTTGGTGGAAATAGGTGTCTTCCTCTACTTGGATTTCGCTGTCAATTTTTTTCTACACTTTTAGGTGTATTTTGTGCATGAAATTGCATTGAAATCGTCTGCCTAAGAAAAATTGAATTTTTTTGGGGACTTTTTTATGATTTTGGATGGCTTTTTGGTGGAAATAGGTGTCTTCCTCTACTTGGATTTGGATGTCAATTTTTTTCTACTTTTTTAGGTGTATTTTGTGCATGAAATTGCATTAAAATCGTCTGCCTAAGAAAAATTGAATTTTTTTGGGGACTTTTTTATGATTTTGGATGGCTTTTTGGTGGAAATAGGTGTCTTCCTCTACTTGGATTTGGCTCTCAATTTTTTTTTACACTTTTAGGTGTATTTTGTGCATGAAATTGCATTAAAATCGTCTGCCTAAGAAAAATTGAATTTTTTTGGGGACTTTTTTATGATTTTGGATGGCTTTTTGGTGGAAATAGGTGTCTTCCTCTACTTGGATTTGGCTGTCAATTTTTTTCTACACTTTTAGGTGTATTTTGTACATGAAATTGCATTAAAATCGTCTGCCTAAGAAAAATTAAATTTTTTTGGGGACTTTTTTATGATTTTGGATGGCTTTTTGGTGGAAATAGGTGTCTTCCTCTACTTGGATTTGGCTGTCAATTTTTTTCTACACTTTTAGGTGTATTTTGTGCATGAAATTGCATTAAAATCGTCTGCCTAAGAAAAATTAAATTTTTTTGGGGACTTTTTTATGATTTTGGATGGCTTTTTGGTGGAAATAGGTGTCTTCCTCTACTTGGATTTGGCTGTCAATTTTTTTCTACCCTTTTAAGAGTATTTTGTGCATGAAATTGCATTAAAATCGTCTGCCTAAGAAAAATTAAATTTTTTTGGGGATTTTTTTATGATTTTGGATGGCTTTTTGGTGGAAATAGGTGTCTTCCTCTACTTGGATTTGGCTGTCAATTTTTTTCTACACTTTTAGGTGTATTTTGTGCAAATTTTCGAAAAACTTAATTCGCGAGATAATCGTTCCGGAATACCACCAATAAAATAGGGAAAAAGTTTCGAACAAAAAATGTATGGCGCACTTTTTGATTGGTCCAGCGGATGCTGAGCTACACTAAAAAATATTTTGGAAAAAAATTCGAAAAAATAAATTTGCGAGATAATCGATTCAGAATAACACCAAAGCAGTTAGAAGAAAGTTCTGAACAAAAAATGTATGGCGCACTTTTTGATTGGTCCAGCGGATGCTGAGCTAAACTAGAAAACAAATTCGGGAAAAATTTCGAAAAATTAAATTCGTGAGATAATCGTTTGGGAATACCACCAAAAAAATAGTCAAAAAGTTCCGAACAAAAAATGTATGGCGCACTTTTTAAATTGTCCAGGGGATGCTGAGCTAAACTAGAAAACAAATTCGTAAAAATTTTCGAAAAACTTAATTCGCGAGATAATCGTTCGGGAATACCACCAATAAAATAGGGAAAAAGTTTCGAACAAAAAATGTATGGCGCACTTTTTGATTATTCCAGTGGATTCTGAGCTAAACTAGAAAACAAATTCGGAAAAATTTTCGAAAAACTTAATTCGCGAGATAATCGTTCGGGAATACCACCAATAAAATAGGGAAAAAGTTTCGAACAAAAAATGTATGGCGCACTTTTTGACTGGTCCAGCGGATGCTGAGCTAAACTCAAAAATATTTTGGAAATAATTTTCGAAAAATTAAATTCGCGAGATAATCGATTCGGAATACCACCACAGTAATTAGAAGAAAGTTCTGGACAAAAAATGTATGGCGCACTTTTTGATTGGTCCAGCGGATGCTGAGCTAAACTAGAAAACAAATTCGGGATAAATTTCGAAAAAATAAATTCGTGAGATAATCGATTCGGAATAACACCAAAAAAATAGTCAAAAAGTTCCGAACAAAAAATGTATGGCGCACTTTTTAAATTGTCCAGGGGATGCTGAGCTAAACTAGAAAACAAATTCGTAAAAATTTTCGAAAAACTTAATTCGCGAGATAATCGTTCCGGAATACCACCAATAAAATAGGGAAAAAGTTTCGAACAAAAAATGTATGGCGCACTTTTTGATTGGTCCAGCGGATGCTGACCTACAGACAAAAATATTTTGGAAAAATTTTCGAAAAATTTAATTCGCGAGATAATCGTTCGGGAATACCGCCAAATTCTTTAGCAAAAAGTAGCGAACAAAAAATATATGGCGCACTTTTTGATTGGTCCAGTGGATGCTGAGCTAAACTAGAAAACAAATTCGGGAAAAATTTCGAAAAATTAAATTCGTGAGATAGAGTGTAACAAGAATTTTAATAGTAATTCCATACTAAACATTTTAGAATGTAATTTTAGTATTAGTAGTAAAAGTCAATTATAGTCAGAATGAACAAATAAAATTTCAATAATTTTTGTATGAGTAGCAAAAATATGTTTCAATCAGACAAAAAAGTTTTGTAGTAATTTTTCTATTAGTAGTAAAATCAAGTTTAAGTCAGACAGAAATTTGTAAATTCTTTTCATTGTTAACATTACTATACTAATAGTGAAATTCATTTCTAAAATAAAAATCACAATTTTAAATCGAATTTATTCGTTCTCTAAACCTAATAAAACATTTCCAACCTCATTTAAGAAGCATCGACTATGTTAATCAGCTTCACCGCATGTCCATTATATATTTTATTTATGATTATTAAATTACAAACAAGATCGCGATATAAATGATATTTATTTCAGACCACGAGCTCCGAGCGAGTAATCCCCTGACGGTTATAATGAAAGGGTTAGTAGGGAATAAGGCGTGAACTGATTTTAAAAATCGTTTACGAAGGCATAAACTGTGCTCGAAACACTGCACGCTTCATCGAAGAATATCATCGATATAAGCCTGATTCAAATTCGAGCAAACTCTCCCTCACTTGAAATCAGCAGTTTCGATATGTATATATATATATATATATATAGGTTATATAGAATTCGATCGGCCAAGGGGCTCTTATATTCTTAATCGACCGTAAATAATTGCGTTTATCACACCTATCATTTGAGCGTGGACCGCCGTGCAGATGCTAAACATAAATATATTCCAATATCGCAAAATCGCGTACTCTACTTTCACTTCTTGAAGAAAATTAACGTTTATATCAATCACAGTTATCGACATGATTCTCACAATATATTTTTTACCGTTATAAGTATTAATAAATATTTATCTTTAATTTATTTAAGAAAAAAAATTATTAACATTTATAGTGTGCGCAATATTCTTCGTTTTCCAATTACATAATGCTGATGAATCACTGTTATGGAGTAATGATTCCATAATTTACATCTGCACTGAAATTACGCTCTTTGGAAATTATTTCCACTAATTTATATCGCCATTAATTATTCCAATTGGTTACGTAGATAATATTCCATACTTTATCAAAAAATTATATGACAAATGTTGATTTTGGCAAATGGAATTTCTTACTTTATTTTCTTTATGTATAAAGAAAATTTACAAGGTTTTTTTTACATCTCTTTTTTTTTGGTGGATTTTCTATTCATCCGTTGCCCTTAAATCTCGATACCTTTTTGGAAGGTATATATATATATATATTGGAAGGGGTGTAGAATGTTATATGGTTCGGCGCCGTCTCGTCGTAAACAACGAGAGAAGAAGAACGCGTATAGAAATAAGAATCCGAATCGTCCGTTTGGCTGGTGATTGTCTGGCGGTTCGCATAAAGTATAAACCACCCACGACATAAAACCGTAGGAGTTATTGTAGTGCGTCACCTCGGCACCTGGAGTCCCCTTTCGCGCGCCAAGACGCGATCCAAGAATTTGCCAGCAACAACGACCAAAGATTGGAACCCCATACCTACGTAGATTATGGGAAACACCATGAACCGGACATTTATGACCGTGAAACGCGCGACGCACGAGAGAGGCACTCCATCGCGGATTTGATACAACTTAATCGCCGGAAGACACTCCAAGCACAATCCTTTTATATATATATATATACATATATATATACACCATCAGCCTGAGCTTTCAGACATCACCGCGATACCTATCCAATAAACAGTGTGAAGCACGGCCCCCGCAGTTTTTGGTTCTTTTAATGTCACGAGGAATCTCACTTTTTTCACTCTGTTTTTATTTTTATTCGACATATTCATATACCTGTATACCTTGGTTGAGAACAAAAAAAACAACAACTTTTAAACGGACTGTTAATGGTGCTTTTTGCTTATCTCAGAATATTTGATATTGATATTAAACAGTTTTTGTTGTTTTAAGTAATTGAAAATTTAATTATTTTTAAATTAAATAATTTTAGATATAATTATCAGGAAGTGAAAACAATTGAAGTTACAGTTATAAGTAGGAATTATCAACAAAAGAAGTTCTAATTATCGGGAAGTATAATTACTTGAAATTATTATCAGGAAGTATTAGGAATTGAAGAAACAACTGTCAGGGACTATCAATATAAGAAGTTCTAACTATCAGGAAGTATAAGTAATTAAAGTTGTAATTATCAGGAAGTCTATTTAATTCTAGTTATATTTATCAGGAAGTATAAATAATTGAAGTTATTATCAGGAAGTATTAGGAATTGAAGATACAACCGTCAGAGACTATCAATATAAGAAGTTCTAACTATCAGGAAGTATAAGTAATTGAAGTTGTAATTATCAGGAAGTCTATTTAATTCTAGTCATATTTATCAGGAAGTATATTTGATTGAAGTTATCATCATCAGGAAGTATATTTAATTGAAGTTATATTTATCGGGAAGTGTAGCTATTGAAGTTACATAAATTATCAGGAAGTATATTTGATTGAAGTTATATTTATCAGGAAGTATATTTAATAAAAGTTATAATTATTAGGAAGTGTAACTATTAAAGTTACAATAATTACCAGAAATAATTAGTAAACTAAGTTATAATTATCAGGAAGTCTATTTAATTCTAGTCGTATTTATCAGGAAGTATATTTGATTGAAGTTATTATTATCAGGAAGTATATTTTATTGAAGTTATATTTATCAAGAAGTGTAACTATTGAAGTTACAATAATTATCAGAAAGTATATTTAATAAAAGTTATAATTATTAGGAAGTGTAACTATTGAAGTTAAAATAATTACCAGAAATAATTAGTAAACTAAGTTATAATTATCAGGAAGTCTATTTAATTCTAGTCATATTTATCAGGAAGTATATTTAATTGAAGTTATATTTATCAGGAAGTGTAAGTATTGAAATTACAATAATTATCAGGAAGTATATTTGATTGAAGTTATATTTATCAGGAAGTATATTTAATAGAAGTTATAATTATTAGGAAGTGTAACTATTGAAGTTACAATAATTACCAGAAATAATTAGTAAACTAAGTTATAATTATCAGGAAGTATGTTTAATTCTAATTATATTTATCAGGAAGTATATTTAATTGAAGTTATATTTATCATGAAGTATAAATAATTGAAGTAAGAAGACGTTTAAATTATCAGAAAGTATATGATCCTCATTAGGCAGTAGAAATTACTGAAGCTATTATTGTCAGGAAGGCTACTAATTGTACCTTCAATAATTAGGAATTATTAGTAAGGAAAGCTTTAATTATCAGGAAGTTTAACTATGATTTTTATGGACTTTTGATTAAAATATTCACGTAGTTTTCTGAATTTAATAAATATTAACATTGTAGTTAATTGAAGAATGAAAAATTCGAAATTCAAGGATATTTTCTTTTATATATAATCGA